AACTTGGCCCATGGCCAGCTCTCATTAAGGAAGGGAAAAGTATTTTATTAGTCTAAGCTATTTGGTAGCATCTCTTACACGTGAAACATCAGATGAATTGTAATAAAATATCTGTTTACCAAAAACTAAGAGAACATTAAAGATACCATGTCTAAATTTTTAAGTTTTTCTTGTGTGTTCATGACCACGATCGTTCATATTATCAACTGAAACTTTGGGTTAAAAGCAGAGAAAACTTGTGAATGAATGAATCGGTTGACTCATACCATAATATCCTTGATTAAAAAAGTTGTCTAAGTTTTAAAAATATTGAGCAGGTTAAATAAATATTGCACTAAAAATGGAGTTTCCTAACAAAACTCTTGCGTAATTTGACATTATTTATTGTGATTCTGGTGATTAATATTAGGCGAGGGTCAAAGTTCAAAATCTCAAAGTATAGAAAGCATGTGTTGAACTTATGTGTCCAGTTATAGAGAGAGAGAGAGAGTGCGTGCCTGGTGTTAAGATTTGGGGTGGCGGAGATATCGTGGCCGTGTCAGCCACGCGCCGTGTCAGCCACACCGCGTGGCTGACCACGTGGCCCGAGGGCGCTTTATCGGCCGCGGCCATCCACTAAGCTCTCTTTCTCTCTCTCCTCGTTACTTCGCTATAATTTTGGTGAGGAAATTACGTACGAGACTTTTGACCATATATGTATGGGAACATATTTGGCTAAAATTACGACGATCTCCTCCTCCTTAATACCCTTTTTTTTTTTTTCATAATTATAAACTATCTGACAAACACTGGACGGGAGGAAGAGGAGCTTAAAAAAAATTGTAGTAGTATCCTTTCTATTTATTTGTTGGGTAAAATTCATGTTAGAGATACTTTTTAGATCTCAAATTTGAGGGATATAATTTCAGAAAAAGTTTATATAAGATTGCAACTTTAAAATGTAGAATTAAATATGCACCTCATAAATTCATCGAAAAAGGTTGTTTTAATGCTGAAAAACTCTTTAATTGATCATCTAGATATCGAGATGTATGAATATGAAAAAAAAAAGAAAATATTTTGAGTCTAAAAAATAGTATATCTTGCAATACACTATCTAGACCGTTTATTTTTAAGATTTTCTTACCTTTATAGATCTCCTTGATTTTAACTACTTTTAGAGTTTCAAATTTTATAATTAGATGTGAAAATAGATTTTTTCAGATAATCTTAAGAATTGTTTACACCAAAATTACATATTATGGTAAAATTTGGTGGTGGGCGTTAATTGGATTCTTTAAAGTTGCAGCCTTCTAGAAACCATCTCAACAACAAAATTTTTGAAATAAAATTTTTAAAAAATACTGGCCTCAAGATTAAATAGAGACCATCCAACTTAGGGCTAGATCTAAGTGTTGCAAAATTCAAATTTTTATTTTATAACCATCTAGTAATTGCTATATGGTTCCCAAAATTTTAGACTAAAAAAGCCGATGTAGCTAGGTGTTTTAATCTAGGGAGTAGATGCACACGGAGCACAGAGTAAGTATTCTATAAGAAAAAATGAAAAAAGATGTGATTTTTCTTATATCCGGTGTTATGATTTTTCTTATATCTGGTGTTATCATTGCCGCTCAGGCCATCGAGGGGACCGAAAAAGGAAGTGCTCGTTGTAATTTAAATAAAATATATTCTTATACGGTATTATAGGAGTAGAAACACTGCCCCTACATCATTGTTTGCTAATTTTCTCTCTTTTGATGTCCCTTACGTTGATCATATAGCGTCTTTCTCGTCTCCAACCTACATGTATAGACTAAACCATGCATATTGACCATCAACGCATTTTTTGTTTTGTTTTTTTTTTTAATCAGTCGACATACTTATTAAAGTTGGGTGTCGTTTGTATGGAAAAGTACACATAGATCATTTACTTTTGGTACAAAGTGGTCACAATTAATCTTGACCATTGGATGTAAAATTGGATAGTTGCATTTATTTCATTGACCAAACTCAAACTTCAAAAGAAGTTTTTTTGAAAAGTTATCAGATTTCGTATGATTGTAACTAATTGTGACCTCATTGTATCAAAGATAAATAGTCTCATTGTACACAATCCCGGTTTGTATCAGGCCAAGGACCTAAACAATCAAAGTAAGCCGTACCTTCAAATAGTATCGAAAGATGTTATTTCAATACTTGAAATCTATGTGATGGCCTAAAAATTTGTTTTCGTCTCTAATTATAAAATTTAAAGCTTAAAAAATAGTGTAGATCAAGCAGGTTTACGAGCACTTGAAGATCATAAAAATTGATGGTCCATAAAATGCATTACAAAATGTACTATTTCAAAGACTTGAATCTACTTTTTCTTATTCTCATACATCTTGAGGTTGAGATGATCGATTTGACAGTTTTTTGCATCTAAACAGTCTCATATAGTGAACTTCTGAGGTGCACCTTGAATTTGCTTGTTTAGGGTTTTTAAATTTTGTCAAAAAATACAATATTATTGTCAACAATCTCTATGATATTCTTTTGACTCTTAATTATGTTGATCAATCCGTTAACATTTTAAAAAAAAATTTATGTTGATTGAGCACACCTATGAACACAAAAAAATCTTAAAAATAGACGTTCTAGATGATGTATTAAAAAACATATGTGCATACAAGGTCAAGATAATGAATTACTAATTAGTATCATAACAATTTTCTCGACAGATGTTAGAGGTTTTATAATAGAAGATATAACATTTTATTCTTAAGGCACGTTTGGCACACGTGAAAATATTTTCATATGATTAGGTGTGGGGCACTTCGGAGAGTTGTTTGAAAATAACAATATTTACCAAATTTATAAGAATTTTTTTTTCCACGTATAGAATAAGGAGAGACTTCTTTGAAAACAACAACATATATCAAACTTGTAAGATTTCTTTTTCCACGCATGGATAACTCTTTATTCCCGGTGATTTCATCTCTTTGCCTTAGTTTCCCTATAGTGTGATTCTCTAGTGAGGAAAATTCTGTCTAATCACACTAACTTTTTGGACAATTGTTTCACATGAGGTTGATCGCATTTGTACGAGGTCGAGAGGTTTAAAGCATCCATTTTAAAGATGAGATTTTAAAGATGAGATGGATGCAAATAGGTGGTCTATTTAAAAACAATTGTAACTATCGGTCCAAATAGTTTTTTTAATTTATTTATTATTTTTAATTTTTAAAATTTATTTATTTTTTTATCTTTATGTTAAAGATTAAATATTTTTTAAAAATTTAAATAAAATTATATTTAAAAAATATATTTAGTGCCAAGCGTCCTTTTGTTTTTCTTTTTTCTATGGGAAAGTCAAATCACAATTTGTACTCTGTCTCGCCTTTACTTATTAGAAGATTATTCTATGCCCCATAGGAACGTACTGTATCATATATTCTTTTAGTTCTAAACACTTATTTAGCATAATTCTTTTAAACTAAAAATTGAAAACCACATAAAATTACAAGATAATTTTTTTTAAAAACATTTATTTTTTTAGTCTTGTGACACTTGGATCTAGCCCTTAAAAACTCAAACAAAAACTTTCTTGAGATGTAAATTGTTTTCAGTACATGCACAGTTTTTTTCAAAATTTGTTTCTCTAATTTATTCTACAGGTAGTCAAGATTATGCGCAAATACTTTGATATCCAAAAAATATTTCTAACATGTGTTTTTTGTGAGAAAGTAAATGAATAGTACAGTCCCACGGGAGAGCAAAATCTTTTGGCGTTGGAGATGTGGAAGGTAATTGAGGCATGTGGTTGGGTTTGATGAATTCGTCCCCCTCTTGTCTAAGAAATTAAGGCAGGGGGTTTGAAAAAAAGAGAATACTTTATATAGAGCCTAGGCTCTAAACAATCAAATTGGAGCCTACTTCAAAACTTTCACTAGAACAGGTTGTTTTGATTCTCAAATATCCTCAAATTAATCATCTCGACATCAAGACAGATGGACATGAGAAAAAAATGGATTTCAAGTTTTAGAAATAGTGCATCATGTGAAACATTTTTCGACCATCGATTTTTAAGATTTTGCTTGATTTGCACTATTTTTTATACTTTAAATTATAGAATAAGGATCCTATAGGACTCTCCTCCACCCATTTGCGTAGGACCTCAAAGGATCACTATTAAAGTTGGCACGGATCTCTAAAAAAGTTATCACATGAGTGTGGGACTTGACTTTTCTATAGATCGATGCCAAATTTAATAGTGATCATTTGGAGTCCTACACACATGTGTGGCGGAGAATCCTATAAGATCATTTCTCTAAATTTTATAACTAAAGATGAAAATATAATTTAAATCTATCACAAAACTTTACAGTATTGAAATTAGAGTAATGATCCTATGAGACCCTCCCACACCTATGTGCGTAGGATCCAAAATGATCATCTTTAAATTTGACACAGATATCTAAAAAAAGTCAAATTTCGTGATAACTTTTTTGAAGATCTGTGTCAAATTTAATGGTGGTCCTTTAATCCTACACATAAGTGTGTACCACATTTAATGGTAATCATTTGGTTTTTACACACATGATGTGGGAGGACCTTATAATGATTTGAGAAGGAGTTTCAACTCTCAAATGATATTTTTCCTAATATTCATTTATTTTGAGTGATATCACTTGATTGTCAAAGTAAGTGATAAAAGTCATTTAGGGAGCCATAAGAACCTACCTTATGAAAAAATGTTTATGCAGGGCAAAGACCGCATTTGTGCAAATATACGAAGCATAAATCATCCATTTTAAAGATGGATGCAAATTGGGGTCGATCTAAAAATAATTATAACTAATGGTTTAAATATTTTCTTATTATTTTTAATTTTTAAAATTTATTTATTTTACATATTCATTATCTTCGTGTTAAAAATTATATATTCTCTAAAAACTAGAATCAAATTATATTTCAAAATTATATATATTACCAAACCCATATTTCAAAATTATATTTATTACCAAACCCATATTTCTACATGAGAGGGCTTGGCCCATGCTAAAACGTCATTTTTTTCGGAACTTTTTTCTTAACGGTTCTGATATTTTCTGTCGACAGGGTTTATGCACTCTGCGCAAAAATGGCAGCTTCAGTGGCTATCGAGAGAGGCAGCACCATTCTTCCCTCCCTCTTCAAAACAAAACCCCTCAAGTCTTCGCATTTTGTGTTCACTTTCTCTCTCTACTCTCTAAAAAAATTCATTCACTCCAAGCCATTAGTTTTTACAAGCCAGACTTTTATGGCGAGGTGCTTGAGTACTCAAGCAATGCCAAATAGTTGTCAGAGGCTACCGAGCCATATTGACCCTAGGGTTTTTCAAAGTTCCAGTCAGGGACCTGTAGATAATATGGCTCCATTCCAAGAAGCTAGGGTTTATACTACTGAGGATTTCGTCAAATTTTGCAGAGAGGGAAAGGCAAAGGAGGCTATTGAAGCTCTAGGAGCTATTGAAAAACAAGGTATTCAACTCGACCCAAATGTGATCTTTGCTATTTTGGAGGTATGTGGAGATTTAAAGGCTTTAGAGGAAGGTAAGAGGGTTCATGACTATATAATGAGATGTCCTTTTAGGAATTTGCACATGCATAATAAACTTATGGAAATGTACTGTAAATGTGGTAGCATGAAAGAAGCACGCCATGTGTTTGATCGAATTCCTGAAAGAAATTTGGATTCATGGAACCTTATGATCAAGGGGTATGCATCAAATGATCAAGGAGATGAAGCCCTTCAATTGTTTGGGCACATGAGAGGAGCAGGGGTGAGCCCAACTAGGGAGACTTTTGTTTCAGTTTTGTTGGCATGCCGAGTTTTGGAATCAGTAGAAGAAGGGTTCATCCATTTTGAATCGATGGAAAAGGATTATGGAGTTTCTCCTCAAGTTGAGCATTATGCACGAATGGTGGAGGTTCTTGGAAGGTCGGGCCATTTAGCAGAAGCAGAGGAATTTGTTGACGGAATGGCGATTCCACCGCCAATTCCAGTATTAGAAACATTGAAAAATTATGCTAGTATTCATGGTGATACCGATCTTGTTAATAGGGTAGAAGAGCAATTGATTGCTTTTGACCCATCTCGAGAAGCCCAAAAATCTAATGCTCCAAAGGTTCTTCCTCCAAGGAAGAGGCTTGGATTGAACATGCTTGAGGGGAAGAATAAGGTGAATGAATATAGAGCTGGAACCAATCCTCAAAAAGGAGAGACTTATGAGAGACTCAAAGGTTTAAGTGGTCAGATGAAAGAGGCTGGTTATGTGCCTGATACTAGATATGTGCTTCATGATATTGATCAAGAGGCAAAAGAACAAGCTTTGCTTTATCATAGTGAGAGGTTGGCCATTGCTTATGGACTTATTAGCACTCCTGCTAATACCCCATTAAGGATTATCAAGAACCTCCGTGTTTGCGGGGACTGCCATAATGCTATCAAGATCATGTCGAAGATTGTTGGGAGAGAGCTAATTGTAAGAGATAACAAAAGGTTTCATCATTTCAAGGATGGGAAGTGTTCATGTGGTGACTATTGGTAAAAAGAATGAATTCGGTTTTTCTTTAACAACTTCAATTCTTTCTTGCTAGAAAGAAGTAAATGTACCTTTAGATAGAGCTGATGCTAGAAATAAGTAAATATACCTTCAGGGACAGCTGTTATGGACTCTTTTTAATGAAGACATTAAAAGTTTGGATTTGGTAATATGGTTGGCTGTTATGGTCTATGACGCTTGAGATGGATTCCTTCAGCAAGCTAAGTCACAGTGAAATGTTGTTGTTATAGTGGAGGAAGGAATGAGCTGTTGAGCTTTGTAGATGTTGTATTTATGTTTTTAGTTTTAGGTTGTGCTAGTTGGAATTCTCTTTTGTTGATGAAACAGTTTGAACTTTAGATTATTCTAATCCTGCTCTTCGTAATAATATGGGGTATACTTTCTTATGGTTTATTGTGAGATGCTCTTCCTCTCTTGTCTACTCTCTTTCTCATAGAATAGAACACACTATTGTGATGGATGCCCAAGAACATAAGCCTAGATAGAGAAGGAGGGAGCAACAATGATGCAAAAAGATATGTTTGCCTAGTAAAATTATACAAACTTCATATGATAGATTTCTACCATTATAATTCCTTTTGAGAGCAGCTTTGGTGGAGAGTCGGGATTTAATGCAACGTGATGAATTGCTTCTTACTAAACTCGTTATGGGTAAAGAGTGCTTGAAGTAGTCGTAACCATTAGTGTAGAAGCCTATTGTAGTGAGAAGGGATTCTATATTTATGTTTTGTATAGTAATAAGCATATTATATACTATATGTTAGGCATTTCTTTGTCCCATATTGTACCCAAGATTTGTGTAGTATATTCTATGAATTTTGGAGTAATTGTTAGTTTTTTATTAATATTTGATATTTCATAAGTAAATATTGACCACATATTTGGAAGTAGAATCAAATAATGGGATATTATCAAGTTTATAAAATTGGCGTTTCTTTAGCTTAATATTTGGTGGTATCTGAATTTGTCTTTAAATTATTTTCTTAATTTGTCTTGCATCATCATCATGGTTGAGTCTTTTTCTTAACTTGTCTTGCATGATAAACGTAAATCTAGGATCTGCATGTTTAGCGCAAATAACAAAAATTATCTTCTTTCCATGAAGAACATGCAATATATTTAGTAATAATAGTCTTATTACTTGGATATCATCCTTTGCATCCAAACATAGTAAAATGTTCTGTAAAGATCATAACAGAAATGTTAAAAATATCTTTCTTGTTATATAGCATTTAGCTGATTTAAACATTTTGAATGACTTTTCCAATCTTGTTAGTCCCTTTTGTCTGCATGCACTGCATCCTTCTTTTTGTAATGCAGCTGATAGCACAATATGCATGGAGGGGAATCTTTATAGGTGGAGTTATTAATTGGAGATTTGAAGTCATATCGTATGGAATTAATATCCCATTAATCATAGCTATCACCTACACTGAGTATACATTCAATAACCAAACCTGTTGAAATAATATTAATTTTATGCAACATGCTATATATGAGTTTATCTTTTTTTTTTTAAGTACGGAATCCTCTTGTGGTTCTAGCTTTGTCACTTGTTCTCTGGTAAGAGGGAATTCATGACCAGATCTTATGACTTGCAAACTTTCATGGTTCGACTAGAAAAATTTTCTGCCATCATTGATTGGTAGGATTATTTGCTGCTTGTGCAACAAACTTGTGTGAGAATAAAAATTGATGGCTTACATTTAACGCCCTTCTGCATTCTTAATAACTAAACGCTAAAGTTACACGACCCTTTTTCCTCTTGGATTTGGTGAGAACTTTATGGAACTTGTATATATCATTATATGAATGATGTTTGAAACATCTTTTTGCACTTCCCATGCTATTTGAGCAATTTTCTCAATACATCAGCTAACCAAGTAATATTTGATTGTTACTTATGTTCCTTGAAGGAGTAAACTAATATGTGGGCTTCATGCTAACCAAAATGGAAAGGACTATTTTGCTTTCTATCCACTATCAAAAAATAAGGTGCAGTGCAATCTGGTTTACCATGTCTCCCCGGAAAGACGTAAGAGTTTTTCTTCAGACACCATGTAAGCTCGCCAGCGGTGGCCTCTAACATGCACTCTGTATCCCCTAGATGGACCTTCTGGCTATGAACAACTAGCTTAGCAACATCAGCCTATTCCAGAAATATGTAGGGTGACCTTACATTCGGAAGACATATGGTGGATGATGGTGTTCCTTTGCCACTCTTTTCCCCTTTTGCCATCAGATAAGTAACAAAATTTATTAAATAAATCAGAAAAGGTGCAACCATCATATATAGTCTGGAGGTAACTAGATATCCTCCCTGTGTAATAATTCTATTGCTATCTACACTTAGTCTTATGACTTGCACCATCGTTAGCGAAAGAATTGGCCTCTGAACTGGTAACCCTTAAATTGTGTGGCCTGTGAGATCACAAATTAAAAATCTCCTTAAAAATCACAGACAATCCCCGTTTGTGTCCATTTTATCGCTTAAGCTTTCCTGTTAAACTGCCACTGAGCAAGGCGGGAGGTCTTGCACTAGCAAGAAGCACTTTGACTTGTCCCATAAGGGAGTCACCACGTTCAAGTGGGCCTGGAACTGATGGAGATGTGCCTTCCTCTGCATCTTAAAGGATGACCCCCATCCCACCTCATGCCGATTATCACTGGTGCTCCATAAATTAAACTTGAGAGTACCAGGGTCTGGATTGGACTCCTCTGCATCTTAAAGGATGCCTCTCATGCCACTTAATGTCGGTTATCACTGGGGCTCCATATAGTAAACCTGAGAGAAGAGGAGATGGTGAGTGAGTTGATCACCAACGAGAGAATGCTGCCTCATTTCAGTCCGCAACAAATCCTTAGTTCTGTACGCTCATTTCAGCCCATGTATAGCTCGGTCAAAAATGTGTTTCTGCCAGTCTTCATCCCTTTAATATGCGGTTATTTCACTTCATATGAAGGCCCCAAAGGATGGAGCATGCAAGTTTCCATAGTAAATAACTCTCTCATTAATAAACCTAGTGGCAATGTTACCCCCTAGACTCCTGCTTTGTGTTGGTGTTGACACATGTCGAAACCCCGTTACACGTGTGTATTAAAAAAAATTGATATAATGCTTACATCTGAGTTTGAAGCTGTGACCGGTTATTAGCAAGTTGCATGGTCTACCACTCAGTGAAGCACACCTATGTGTTAAAGGTTGAACATTCTATTATGTTATTATTTTAACTTGAAATAAGAATTGTATGGACATGTGATGCCATGTCACCTTTTTATGCTGAAGTACTAGACACCTTTGTCTCGGTGTTCGTGTCATTGACTATAGGGCCTTCTGGTAAACTAATGAACTACATGACTTAGGGCCCAAAGACAGAGAGTTCTAACATGAAAACCCAAACCTGGCTTGTGAAGCCAAAATGTGAAAGAAAATGCTCAATGATCCCATAACTTTATCTGCTTTCATTTTGCACACCTTCGAAATCGCTTGTCAATGCCCCTTTGTAGGAAGTCCTGCTCTTGTTTCTCCAATTGCACCATTTGGCATCAATGTTTTAAATAAGGAAAATAAAGTGTATATGGTTCTCTTTTATCAAAAAAAACGAAAAAAAAAATTGTAGGGTTGTTGCGTGAGGTTGTCTAAGTTTGCCTGGTGTAATGAACACGCTCAAAGAGAAGGGTTGTCCTTTGTGTGTGGCCAATGTCCTCTAAAATTTCTCCACTGACTGTGTCTCTTAACGCAGTGGGCTATGTTTGTAGTAACCTAGATGGTTTCATGGGGTATCACAATGATTGCTACCTTATATTAACCAACTCAAGTAAAATTGTTCTGGAGAGCTGACACCACTCCTCTAATTCACGTCACTCTTCTCAGGACCTTCCTTTGCCCCACGGTTTTCCCTGGTTCTCAACTTAATAGCACTAACTTAAGGCTCTCTGCCTAGGTGACCAGCACATGGCCACAAAAAAAATCCAAGTATTCTCTACAAATTGAACACAAGTTAATCCAATCAAATATTTTAAAACTCGCTGAGTTGACTCGGGAATTGACAGATTGCGCTTGGCTCGGGCATGTCCCAATTTTTATTCTTGTAAAACTCAGGGAATCCTGAGTCTGTAGAGAGGCTGTAGGGACTCGCCGAGTCCATGCCACCTTTTTTAAGTAAAACCTGTTGTCCTTAAATCAAAAGATAAGTTTCTATTATGGGTGATTTCTTTCTTGTTTAGAGGGTGAGGGTGGATGTTTTGGCCTATTTTCATCCCATTTCCTGTTATGACACTTTTGGAAGCCAGAATCCATCACAATATGTTACTGATTTTGAGATTTTTGGGTTGGGGTCATTCCCCTAATTCCCCAAACAAGATTTGTGAGTCCCCAAATCTAATGCACATCCTAACAAGATTTGTGAGTCCCCAAATCTCTTGCTCTGGCCTGTGCGGTGCTGGGCAATCATTTTCAAAATTCGAGACCAGCATTGAGGAGCATGTTAGGCTTATGTGTGATTGAAGAAAGAAATTTCAAGATCAAACACCTTTTGTGTTCCCAAATGTCCGGTATGTAATTTTTTTCCTTTTTTAGCTTTGAATATTTTTCCACAAAATACCTTTGGAACTAGAGAGATCGAGGGTTTATTTTGTAGGTAATGTATTTTTTGCGCTGCCTCAACGAGCTTTTGAGAATAGGTCTTAAATCATTTGAAAATTATTGAAATATAGTGATTTCTTTGATATTTTCTACTTTTTATAGTAAAATTTATTTGTCACTCTCTCTAAATCTAGGGTTTCGGATACAATTGGAAGGATTTTTTTTCATCCACTTTTTCATCATCTATAAATCATATCTATCCAAGGGAAATTAAATCACAAAGCATAGCTGACAAGCTTCAGATCTTCAAGGTGTTAGCATAAAAAAGAATTCATATGTCTAAATGTGCTCCCTTTTTTTATTTTTTTTAATATTTCTTCAATTTTCAGAAATATTCCATGTATTTCCTACCAAATTTCCAGGCAGTTCAGAGACTCGCGACAGGAATTGTTTTGGTGACTAGGGATTCTGCGATTTGAGGAGCTAGTTTGTATTTTACCTCAGACCCTAAATCAACCTCACTCCCCTTTCTGCAGCAAATCTGATCATATGATTAATGCCTCGTACACTAGGGAAATGGGAGAGAGTTCTCTTGGTAGCCTCTCAAACTGCATTAAGAACCTTTCAGGGAGCTATTCATCAAAAAGAGAAGTTGGCCAAACACAGGCAGCATCCCCTAATTCAATCTACACTAAGGCCCCGTCCTCATTATTTAAATTGTTTGCACCCTTGTTCTTGGAATAAAGGTGACCCTTGCCCTAGCATTTGACTCGTCAAATGCCTTCATAATTTCCCTTTCCATCATC